TTTTTTTTTCCAGCTCTAATGGTATTTGTTTTACTCATGGACAGGTGAGAAGGACAAGGATGGAAGAGTCCTCAAATATCCCACAGCCAGCCCTCTTGGGTGAATTACTTGTAGTTTTCCAAAGATGCTAGCAGGTTTCTTCCTGTATAACATTTGCATTATGTTGTAGGTGCCACCGTCTTCAGACGGCGAATCCCTATGAAACTCAGTTCACATGACATTTTCTAGGAAATCTTTACATCCTTCTCTTCTGTGTTGGGTGTCACCTTGTCTGTCATTCTGTTTTTGTACTCATCACATACTTAATGATATCAACTGGTTCAGCAACTGGACTCCTTCCTACTGTACTGAGATTCTTGAAAGTCACTGTGATATGCACTCTAGACCATCAGTATACTGTCTAGAGCAGTAGTTTTCAAAACTTAATGTGTATCAAAATCCTCTGGGGAGATATTTAAAACAGAATCTCAAGCCCTACCTGCAGAGTGACTGCTTCAGTAAGTCTGGGTGAGGCCCAAGGACATGCATTTTTAAACAGCTTCGAAACGTGTTGATTCTATTGGTCTGGAGAACATACTTTGGAACTTCCTGGTCCAGATCATACTAGTTACTCAAAAAATGTTCATTAAAAGATTTCGGGGATTATAAATTACTTGTTATTTTTATTTGAAGCCAAATTGAAGCATTTCGTAAGTTATCCAAAGTAAGGTAAATATTCCAGGTCCTTGCTACTCAAAATGGGGTCCTTGGGCATTACTAGGGGATTTGTTAGGAATGGAGACTCTCTTGCCCCATGGTGGACCTACTGACTCAGAATCTCCTTTTTAAAAAGATCCTCAGGTGATTAGTATACATTCAGAATTTGAGAAGCACTGCTTGTGTGTGTGTGTGTGTGTATGTGTTTGTGTGTGTGTGTGTTGTCATTATTATTGCTTTAGAGTAGTTTTAACAGCCTCCATAAAACTGGCTTTCACTATTGATTCAATTCGTGGATTTTCCAAGTCCTTTTTTCCCAAATAATATTGGATTTATTTTTTCTCTTGGTAAGTATACAAAGATTAAGCTTCATAAAAGCTTTAATTTTTTATATTAGGTATGTTGATTTAATTTTAATCGTTATTCATTGATTCTTCTGTTATGACACCAAAACCCAGAAGGGTGAAAGGGTGAAAGGAGTAAATTATTTCAGCAAAAAAATAAATAGTAGGGAAACGTGAGAAATGAGTTACACCTGTAGAAGTGTTTGAATCTGATAACGATTCTGCATAATTTAATATGTTAAGTTACAAATTGCAATTTCTTAGTAGCACTTGTAGACTTAAAGATTAACTAGAAGTTTTAATAATATATTGACTTACAATTTTTACTTTTAAAAGTAACAAGCTGAGGTGGGTGGATCACGAGGTCAAAAGATCAAGACCATCCTGGTCAACATGGTGAAACCCCGTCTCTATTAAAAATACAAAAATTAGCTGGGCATGGTGGCACGTGCCTGTAGTCCCAGCTACTTGGGAGGCTGAGGCAGGAGAATTGCTTGAACCCAGGAGGCAAAGGTTGTAGTGAGCCGAGATTGCGCCATTGCACTCCAGCCTGGGTAACAAGAGTGGAACTCCGTCTCAAAAAAAAAAAAAAAGTAACAAAGCTAAATAGGTTTTAAGATAAATATATTACAAACAATGGTTCTATTTCCTTCTGACTTTTTGTTTGTACTCTCCCTAATTACCAATGCTTAGTAAAATTATAATTATTTGTAATCATATGAATAATTATATATTCATGAATTAAGAATGTGTCTACTAGTATTTTAGACTACATATGAATTTGATAGTCTCTAAACTAATGCCAGATGTTCTAAATGTTCAAGCAAATGTTTATCCTGAGTCAGAGACAGGGTCTCACTCTGTCACCTAGACTGGGGTGCAATGGCATGATCTCAGCTCGCTGCAGCCTCGACCTCCCTGGGCTCAGATGATCCTCCCACTTCCCATCTCCGACCTCAGCATCCTGAGCAGCTGGAGCTACAAGTGCATGCCACCATGTCTGGCTAATTTTTGTTATTTTTTGTAAAGAATGGGCTTTCAGGCCGGGCGCGGTGGCTCAAGCCTGTAATCCCAGCACTTTGGGAGGCTGAGGCGAGTGGATCATGAAGTCAAGAGATCGAGACTATCCTGGTCAACATGGTGAAACCCCGTCTCTACTAAAAATACAAAAAATTAGCTGGGCATGGTGGCGCGTGCCTGTAATCCCAGCTACTCAGGAGGCTGAGGCAGGCGAATTGCCTGAACCCAGGAGGCGGAGGTTGCGGTGAGCCGAGATCGCGCCATTGCACTCTAGCCTGGGTAACAAGAGCGAAACTCCGTCTCAAAAATAAATAAATAAATAAATTAAATTAAAAAAAAAATAAGAATGGGCTTTCACTATGTTGCCTGGGTTAGTGTTGAAACTCCTGGGCTCAATCTACCCACTTCGGCCTCCCAAAGTGCTAGGATCACAGGCAGGAGCCACCACTCCCAGCCTATACTTCACTGTTTTAAAAAACTTTTTTCAGATTGACAGCATAGAAACAAAGCCTAAAAACAAAACAAAAGCAATTACCTCTTTCCAACAGAATCATTAATGTAGATCAGATCTGGGAAGAATAAGTACGTGGAACAGAAAACAAAAGTAAAAGAATAGTTACCTCTGAAGTCAACCATTCTAATGAAAAGTATACTAACAGTAATCCAAACTGCAAGTAATTTTTAAGTAGGAAGCTGCAGGAATTACTCGTGTTTAGTGAAAAAGTAAATAAATTACAATAAGTGAAAGGAAGAATTTTCCCACCACCGTCACAGTGGTGGGAAAAACTACAGGGGAAAGACAAACATTCTGAAAGGTTGGAAGGTTTTGCAGAGCCCCGGTGAAGATCTGAATACTCATTTCTTCCATCGGCCAGGGTCTGCGGGACAGACTCGGCAATAAAGAGCTACTTTTACCCAATCAAAGCTTCAGTTTACATAAAATGAAAAATGATCCTGAGATTTTATAACTATTTATTGTGTTTAAATGGTGGGTAGTTATAGTGAAATAACCCCAGGATAGAACTGTCTTTATTGTGGAGCAAGATTACTCAGAAAAGTTTGTTCCAATGACATTAATTATTTGAGTTCTGTATCTAATTTGACTTGTTCTGATTTTGTGACCCTTGTATTAGTTTTCAAGGGCTGCTGTAATAAATACCACAGACTGGGTGGTTTTCACAACAGAAATTTATTTTGTTACAGTTCTGGAGGCTAGAAGTCCAAGACTAGGGTGTTAGCAGGATTGGTTTCAACTTGAGGCAGCTTTCTTTGGCATGCCATTTTCTCCGTCTTTCTTCACATGGTCTTCCCTCCATGCATGCCTGATTCTTAATCTCCCCTTCTTATGAGGACACCAGTCATATTTGAAAAGGGCCCTACTCTATGACCTCAGTTTACCTCTTTAAAGATCCTATCTCCAAATACAGCCACATTGTGAAGTAGTGTGAGAGTTAGGAGTTCAATGTCCCAATTTTGAGGAAATACAGTTTGGCCCATAACAGATCTCAATATCTTTTGAATTATAACTTGAATTCTTATAAACAACATATTCAAGAATAGAATATGTTTAAGGTACAAATGGTATTCTTGCCTAAAGGACTTTGATATTTCACACAGTAGTGCTAAGTTACTCTTCTGATTTAACAGTCTATCACTGTACATTTGATCAGTGTGAATCTGCCCCTGAGGGATTTATCTACTCTCAGGGGTCTCAACAAATCTGGATTTTGAGCCTGCAGGGTCCTGTTCCTGACTTTCTCAAAGTCATCATTTATCTCGTTTTACTTCCCATTAGAAGAATCCACTACCTAAAGTACTGCTGTAGTGTAGGTTCCCAAAGCCTGCCATAAATAAACAACACCGATATTCACCTACTGCCACTCTATGGGGAGGGCTATCTCTGAGAAACAGAAGTGAGGAAAAAATGGAAGTGAGGCAGTAGGAGAAGGGAACACAAATGCAGGTGTTACTGAGCTGGTCACAGCTTTGCAACAAGTGCAGTTAACTGCTCGGTCTTTGAGAATATTTTCATGAAGGTCTTATGAATTACTGCACTTTAGAACAGCCCATCTGGGGAAAGGTAGGGAGAATTTATCTACTAGCTTCATCTTGTGCTGTATCTCCTTGATGAAAGTTCACTCCTTAAATAGGGTTGCCAGATTTAGAAAAACTTTTAAAAGGTCAGTGCTGATAATAATTAATTTCTTATTTGTCTGCAATTTAAATTTAACTGAGAGGCCTGTATTTTACCTAGAAATCCTACTCTCAGCATATTCACACCTGCGCATTTCCAGGTAGCAGCTGGGAAAGCCAGACCCTCCACGGACAGATCCGCTGCACAAGCACAAAGGTCAGTTTCTCCTTGTCAGTGTCACAGAGTACAGGACTCCTCAACATATAGTAGTGTGGTGGTGGCGGCGGCAGCAGCAGCAGCAGGAACTCCTCTTTACGACAACAGGGTAGCGCTAGGCCACTGGCCAGGAGGCAAGGCACGAGGAAGAGGCAAGGGGAAGTAGGCATGGCTGCATGGAAGCAGGGTGATCAAAACATAATTTTCTATAAAAAGGAGTAACGATTTATTATAATATCTCTTTAGTATTTATCATAGACCATATTGTACTAGATACTGGGGATTTAATAGTAAATAAGACAAAATTTCTGCTACCAGGGAGTTTACAGAATAGCTTGAATATTGTATGTGTCCTGATTTAAAGATGCTTAATGAATGCTAGTAAAATGAAATAATGTAACAAAATAAACATGAATGGAGGTTTTTCTAAATTACTACTTTGGTAAAAATAAACAAAACCCCTCCGAAACTATCAACATCTATTGCTTTCTGAATGCTTCTGAAAACAAATAACTCAGAAAAATATTAGAAGGCCTTCATCAATACTGAAATTATTATTCAGTGAGAAAAAAATCCACTTGTATACAACATTTCAAAAGAGAAGTTATAACATTAAATAGTACTTTTTATTTAAATGTTTATAAGCGAGATCTATGAGAATGATATAAAAACATGGCAGGTAATTTGATAGCAATATTTTGGAGATTACAGAATTTTAGTAATTACTGATCACACAGTTAAAAAGAAGACGATATAGTCCAAGCAGATACAAAATATCTAGTGAAAAATCAAGGCAAGAAAATGAGTATAACTAATTAACAATGGAAAATCAATTTTAATGTGAATTGCACATTATCCTTTGAAAACTTATAAAAGTAAGAATTATTGCAGTCTACTTAATTCAAACAGTGTTAAACAGCATCAGGACAAAGAACTGAAGGGCAGACAGGATTAATTTTCACTTCATGTAACAAACCCAGTTTACAATGGCTTAAATGCAGGAAAAAGCAGTGGAAATAGGAAAGTAGTCAGGTCTTTCTGGTCTCTAATCTGCCTTCCTCTTCCAGTGTGGCCGTGATCCTCTGAGGACCGCAGCCAGGGCTCCTGTTCTATCCACAATCCCAGCAGCAAGATGAAGGGATGATAAAGGACACATGCTGCCTTCCTTTGAGGAGAAAAGGAAAAAGCCATGGCCAACACCTAGTCACATGGACACCTAACTGCAAGGGCAGTTGAGGAAGGTAATGGGCAGCAGCTTTTAAAGAAGTAAATAGGAAGACAAATTCCAGTTCCAGCTCAGTCTGGATATCTGCAAAGTTGCAAAAGACCTTTAAAGACAATTTCAAGAGAATATTTCCTTAAAGTTGGCAATTCGAAGATCATACAAAAGCATCTGCTTCTGTGATTTAATTTAGCTTGTCTGGCCACTGGAAGAATCCATACTGTCTGCCTTAATTTTGGATGAATGATGATGGAAATTCAATAATTTAGAAATTTAAAAATATATCAGTATGTTAGGTTGAACAAAACATTTTTAGTATCATATGAACAGAATCTCTGAAAATTAGCACTGTATACTTTACTCAGACAAAAAAAGTGAAGAACCTATTCATTCATGTAAAATTCACTGTTTAAAAGGTAACAACAGACTGAGTTCCCACTGAAATTACTACAGTTTCACTTAGGGCTAATTATTTGTACTGAATGTATATCAGAATTTGTTTTACTGAGTGATGAACAGTTGAGGGCAGGGCATCTCATTTCACAATATAAATCTTAACACTGTGAGGTATGTTATACTATGTATGTATCCTGCTTTAAGTCATGGATTTACAAAACAATTTCAACACATTTTAAGCTGTTTACTTATTTCAAAACAGGGGTTTCATAGACTGACACAGGTATAATTAGTTCAGTGTTTACAGTATTCCTAAATAAATATTTACTTACTACATTTATGATACTTTATTTAAAATACCACATTAGAAACTTTAAATATTTCATAAATAAATCTCTTTTGGTGGAAACTCTGTACAGAATTTATTATGAAATAGCTTAATGGCAAATGGTAATTTAGAATTAAGTTTTTATCATATTACATGAGATCAATAATCAAAAAAATTGGATACATTCTTGAAGCCCTTTTACACAAATAATTTCTATAATTTGATTATAATGAAAGTATGATATACCTTAAGTTACTGTTATCAGATTAATTTTTGAAAGTAAAATTCCTTAATGAAGCCAAGGTTATTCTGCTTTATAAGAAATTAATCAGGTAGTTTAGAGCTCATTAGCCAACCTGTATGTAGCACAAAATAATCATCTCTGATAAATACCTATAAATATATTTTATTCATACTTTTAAATATTTTACAATTTAAATAAAACCTTACATGTAGACAAATCTGGGCTAAATTTCATGTATGCTTTGAAAAATAATGTGAGCACAAATATATTCATATTTAAATATGATTTTAAATATTCTTAATAGAGGAGACATATGAAATATTTACATAAAAGCTGAGTAGCATGATACAGCTCATGGTTATTTTCCTCATAGGGAAAAATTACTTTTTTTTTTTTTTTTTTTTTGCATAGGATTAAGACTGAGTATCTTTTCTAGATTCTTACAATTTTCTAAGTGGCACTTCTCAAAACACAGACCAGGTAGCAGATCTCCACTGTTCAAAGTTCTCATCATTACTTTCTCACATTTAGCAATAGCAGAATTCAGTCTTAGTTCTGTGACCAGAAGAATGATTCAGAAAAATAATGATTATAAAAAATAACAAGAAAAATAATCACATAGAAGTAAAATAAAGCAACTAACCATCAATTAATAGTTTTGCATTTTTAGAAAAGCATTTAAACATTTAGAATTGTAAATATATTACGCTTATTCTAAAACTTCAAAATTATTCAATTTTTATACTAATGAAAAGATGATGCCATTTGAAACAACAGATGCATCTTTTGTACGTTTTCATAAAAGTTTGTTTTTCATATATTAAAGGCCTCATTTATCTGTAACAGTGCTATTTTTATTTATAGCATTGGCTACTTAATATATACATGCAACAATATATACTTTAGTAGTCATCTAGCTTTTAGGAATATTTCATTTCATTTTCCCATTAAATGTTTAGCATAGTCTTAACAGAGTGGAATTTAAGGAACAAGAAAATATTGAAAATATACTGTTATTTTCATTAGTTCACTATAATAGAATGTTTAGGTATTTGCCCATAAAAGTTATCATTGCCCAACTGAATTCGCACCAAGAACTAGCAAATGATTATCAAGTGGGGAGAAATATATTTAAAATAAAGAAAATGTAGAGCTCAGTTAGAAAGTACAAGATAATAAAATTCACCAAGAGGAGAAAAGAGAATCATGAGTGAATTACGAAACTGACAGTGCAGTAGTAGGAAAAGAGTCACTGGTGGGAAAGGTAGCCTCTACTAAATAAAAGTCTTTATTTTTGGCAGCTGGATTCAGTAGTACCTATGTAGGTAAGTTCAGGAAGAGGAATGCATATAATTGTATCTTGTCTATAATTTTCTATTTTAATAAGAAAATAGCAAGTGGTGGTGGAGGAAATGTAGGGCATTCTATGGTTTGAGCAAAATGCAATTAAATGTGGAATGCTAACATTGAAAATTTTTTTGAATAATCTGCATAATTATGTCTCTAGAGTAGATTTATAATTAGCCACTTACCCTAATATCCTTCATGCTGGTAAATTGCTCCCTAATGAATGGTTATGCAGGCAGGAGAACTTCTCAGGAAGAGAAAAGGAGAAGACAAGCGCTACAGAGATTTTTGAAAGACTGGGATCTCAGGGATTTGTTAGCAGTGCTAGGGTGCTTCACTGCATAGAGAGGCATCTGGACTGCCATGGGTCTCCAGGATCATGTCCCAAGCAAGAATAGGGTAAGTAACTGTGAATTACCCTACAGTAACTAATAATTTATTATCATTATATTTTTATACATTTTTTGGTGTACACAATCCACTCTAAACAATGTCAGTGCCTTTATACAAGCATCTAGATTGGCATCATGAACATAATGTATAGGGATGCAGTGGGAACTCTACTAACTTAGTGTTAAAACTATGACCTCTGGAATATGACTACCTGGACTTGAATGCTCACTCTGCCACTTACTAATTGTGCGACCTTTGACAAATAACTTTTCTATCCTTCGGTTCCTCATATGTAAAATGAAGATAATAACTACCTATCTCATGGGGTTGTTCTAAGTATTAAATGGGGTAATACAAGTAAGGTACTTAGAACCATGCCTGACATCACAATCCCTCAAGGAACATCAGTATAATTCCATACCATTGCAAGTGGTGACTGGTTAAGGTGCTACAAAGATCAGCTGACAGACCACTTGTGTGCAAACTTGATACTTTTATTCTAAGTAGGAACTATTAAACAATTCCTAGGATTGGTACTCTATTAGAGATAGTAGTTTTGTAGGCCAAAGGTTACTGAATCCTATTCCTGATCATATATTAATATAAAAAAGAAACTGCTCTGTAACACAATAAATAAAATCTTCCATGAGGTATGCATTATCACTATGTATTTCATAATATATTTTAAATATAATTTCAGGTTTAATTTGTCTTTTTGTGTCTGTTCATATAATCACATTGCTTCATACAATTAATTTCATTCTTCAAATCCTATTTTATCAGAGAAATACAGGAATGCTATCATGCACCCTTACCTAGACCCTAACATAATGTGTCCTTTCTTAAAAATAACATATAATAATGCATTTCTACTTTTTAAGTTGAATAATTAAAACCTTACTTAATCTCCAAAAAATATATATATCCATTGAATTATTTTAAAAGCTTAAAATTCTGCTGGTTTCCAATTTTTTTTGATAATCTATTAATAACTGTAAGTATTTTTGCCTGATTATGAAATAAAGTAACAATAGCGTTACAGTTGTGCAAAATAAAACATACCTAAATTACAATAATATGTTGACTAGAAAAATTCATATTGGTAAACCATGACATTTGTGAAAATTAACTTGATGAAAACTCTGTCACTAATTCAGCTGAAATCTCATTTAACAAGTTTCAACCCATGATAATTTGACAGCACACTTGTAACTGAATGTAGAAGTCATAAAAATAATGGCATGAGTAGAATTTTATATGGCAGCTATGAACACCATTTATCATCACATTACTGTGACCCTCTCCGGGGAGAGATGAGGGATTGTTCCTCCAATACCTTCTTCCAGAAATTGGCTCTTTTCCCAGCCTTTTTTAATTCGTTTTAGCTTTTGGCTTATGCATGGAAGGAGTAAAATGATCTTACCCAGAATTACAATTGAGGGCAAAACAAGAGCCAGAACAAAGTTTGGTGGTGTATAAAATCTGTAGTACTCTTCTTCAAAAGCTCGTTTCCATCCATAAATTAAAACATGGAAAGTACTTATGAGCAGAGCAACATATCCAAGTGTAGACTTGGGCCCAGGGAGGAAGGAAGAGAAACAAAGATAAGAAGCAAATGACTGAAACTCATAAATTAAGCTATCAAGATATACAATGTTTACATTTGGATAAAACTGTTTTGTCTTAAATTACCAAGTTAACCTTTGTCCTCCACTGAATTAAACAATATTAATATTTTTGTATGTGCATACATATTTATTATTTATATGCACTTTATTTGACACATATAAGGCCCTATTGCATACATAGTAATATTCTTACTACTTTATTTTATCAATAACATTTTCCTCATGTCATTAAATATGAAAATGACATTAATACTGTATAACATTCTATTGAATGAATGTGCATAATTTATTGAACCATTCCTTTTTGATGATAATTTACTGTGTTCCAGCTTTCCTCAACTATAAATGTCATGTTAGGCCCTTTTCCATATTTTTAACCCTACTACTAGAAAGCAGTCCTAAGACTGGTTTGGTCAAAACATCTAGCTTTTCCTTAAGGGTATTGATACATATGCTAAACTCTTCTTTATAAAAATTATTCACATTCCCACCGGTTGTATATTAAATGTGTACATGTGTGTGTATACATACACATAAATATAGTCATGTGCCACATAAAGGCATTTTGGTCAACTATAGACTCCATATACAATGGTGGTCTCATAATATTACATACCATATTTTTACTGTACCTTTTCTATGTTTAGATATGCTTAGATACACAAATATTTACCATTGTGTTACAACTGCCTGTAGTATTCAGTACAGTAACATGCTGTATGGGTTTGTAGTGTAGGAGCAATAATAGGTCATGGTTTGTATAAATATGCTCTATGATGTTCATATGACAAAATTGCCTAACGACTCATTGCTCAGAATGTATCCCTATTGTTAGATGACACATCACTGTTAATACATAAACAGATATATGACAAAATTAAATAAATTAATTCAAAATTATTAAAATTAATTAAATTAAAATTAAATGAGCATCCTCATGGGCATACACACACATATACACACTGGCTAATAGGTAAATATAAAGAATCCTGCAGTATTAATATAAACAGTAATTCAAATACAGAGTTTATTAAGACTACTTCAGTTAGGCACTTTACAAATTAAATTCTAAAAGATCCGCATTCTTTAGTTCCCTGAATTATGAGGCTTAAGACTGTTTACTTTGAAAAATGATCTGTTATACAAATGTAATATTACATCAGTATAATGACATAATGTCTAACTTTACTGGGAAAATTTCAACCCTCCAGCAGGCAAAATATTTGCAATTACTCATCTAAATTTATAATGATAATTTGCATCTCTCTAGAACCTTTTATCAGAGAGCCTACTATTTCTTTTCAGGTATGAATTAACTAGCTGTTGGGAAAGTACTCTCCCTTTTCTTCAAAAAGGAGAAATACATTCAGATAGGCATTATGGTCTTATTTTGAATGAAATTTTTACATAACCTTAAAAAAAAAACAAGCAAATAAGAAATTAAATAAAACAAAACTTAAGTGTACCACCAAAGAACATGAATTTGCCTACTGCACTGTAAACCATTTGGATACAACCAATGCAGATTTAGTGAAAATATAGGTAGGGTCTATGTTTCAGTTATATGCATAAATATATATATATACACACACATATATATATATATATATTATTTATTTATTTATTTATTTTTTGAGACAGAGTTTCACTCTTGTTGCCCAGGCTGGAGTGCAATGGCGTGATCTCGGCTCACCACAACCTCCGCCTCTGCCTCCCGGGTTCAAGTGATTCTTCTGCCTCAGCTTCCCAAGTAGCTGAAATTACAGGCATGCACCACCATGCATTTTGTATTTTTAGTAGAGACATGGTTTCTCCATGTCCGTCAGGCTCATCTCAAACTCCTGACCTCAGGTGATCTGCCCACCTCGGCCTCCCAAAGTGCTAGGATTACAGGCATGAGCCACTGTGCCTGGCCAGTCATATATTTTTTAAATATGCACCTTTTTTATTTAGATGTTATTGGAGAGCGTGAATGTTTAACTATTAAAGAATACAATGATGATTTGAAATCCCTTTACAGACATCCATACATATTAGTATACTACTGATATACTAAATACATATACTAATAAAATTCTTAAGGCTGGTTGCTTGTCATAATTCATTAATCTAGTTACCTAGTTTGCAACTGCTTGTGTTTGTATGTGTGTATATACACACACGTTTCTTTAAAATTTTGATATCTCCACTTGAGTTCAAATTAATAAGATTTTTCTGGACAGATCAAAATGAATCAAAACAAAATAATTTTTCATTCACTTGGCTAATAATGAATTGAGTTTCAACATTAAGTTTGATCTAAGCTCATCTTTCCCCACTTTCATTTTTTTTTTCTCTTTTAAAATAACTTTTCATTCTTAACATAGTATACTGGAAGGCAGTGCTATTAAGGCCTTCCAGTACAATCATGTACTGACTGATCTTTCACCTACTTAACCAGAGCAGTCCTAAGCTGGCTTCCAGCATAATGTATTTAGATGCATAAATACAGCCTCAAAGACACCCTTATTATAAGAAACATGTTTCAAACTCAGCTGTTCTTAACAAGGAAATCCTATCCTGCCGAATCCTTCAACAAACAAAACCCCACATACCTGAATAAAACTGAATTCTCTCCAGTTTAAAGCATTGCTCACTGAAGGGATAGAAGTGACTGCCAGGAGGGAAAGTAAGCCAAGGCTCATTATGCCAAAGGAGATATACATTTCAATTCTCCAAACTTCTTCCTCATTCCAAGAGTTTTCAATATTTGCATGAACCTAACAAGAAAGCAAATGTGAATTTCCTTTGTTTAGCAGAACATTAAGTGATTCAGCACAGCATTCATTCTTGGCATAAGAACCTGGTTATATATGGATATATTTAAGTTGTACTCTTTACTCTAACGAACCATTACAGAGGATCTGTTACTGGATGACACTGCTTCAGGTGTAAGGGAAAGGAGAGTTAAACAAAAGGAGGACACAGCTTTCTCTTTCCTTGTGTATGTGCTAGAACAGAGGAGCAGAGATGTGCCATCGTATTTGTAATACATCATTACAGGGACTCTGGAGTCTAACACCATAAAATGCCTAGTGGTTGGTTCTAGGGTGACACAAAAGAAGTTACTGGCAGTTAAACTTAGTTTTTTTGTTTGTTTGTTTGTTTGTTTTGAGACAGAGTTTTGCTCGTTACCCAGGCTGGAGTGCAATGGCGCGATCTTGGCTCACGGCAACCTCCGCCTCCTGGGCTCAGGCAATTCTCCTGCCTCAGCCTTCTGAGTAGCTGGGATTACAGGCACACGCCACCATGCCCAGCTAATTTTTAGTATTTTTAGTAGAGACGGGGTTTCACCGTGTTGACCAGGATGGTCTCGATCTCTCGACCTCGTGATCCACCCACCTCGGCCTCCCAAAGTGCTGGGATTACAGGCTTGAGCCACCGCGCCCGGCCCTAAACTTAGTTTTGAGGTACTTTTACAAGCTGGTTTAAACTTGGTTGAATATCAGGGATATAGTCTGGCCTTAGTTCAACTTGGAGGCAGGCAGGGAATTTCTAAACTACATCAGTATCTTCCTCCCTCACATGAATAATGTATGTCTCTTTTATCTTTCTTCTCATATTTTCTTCCTAGAAAGCTGTGATTTCCCTGGCTATAGAAGCCTATGGAGCTCAAATATTTATCTACTTGAACTGCCTCATCAATATGATTCCCAACCATCCAATTGTTTCATTTATATACAGTATTTTTCCAAATGTCTTTTCCTTATATTGATAATGTGTATATAATCAAGTCAGACAGTTAACTCTGAATCTGAGATATTTTTTGTAGGGACTACTTTTAGAAGTTCTATTTACACTCATAATATAATTAGAGTACAAATCAAGTATTGGAGTCCTTCAGCTGAAATTTTTGATTTAAATATCTATTAATGAAAAATAGATTATAACTTAACAACAGTTTAACTTTGTCTAATTCTAGTTAACAAAACATACTTGAAATATAACATAATAAGCTGCTTTTTAGCCATTAGTTCCCTGAAGCAATCATATCATCATCTTGAAAGAGGCCACAGAGTTCTTACCATCCTCTTATTTGATATCTGTACAATACAGAATAACAGCATACCCCAGTGTACTCAGAGACTACACCCTGGATCCACCTGCCCTCCCAGTTCATTCATTCATCCCACAAATGGCCTGTTTGACTGTCCACAATGCGTCAGCTCAGATACAGACATTGCAGATATATCAGTGGAAAAGATGGACAAAGATCCCTCTTCTCATGAACTTACATTCTGATGGGGGAAGGCAGACATTGGTAAATGTATTTAACATGGAAATAATCAAATGTGTTAGAAGATGGTAAGAGCTATTAAAAAAAGAAAGGTAGAGCAGGGTAAGTCAGAGGGATTGGAAATACTGTTTGGGGTGGAGGCAGGTAGCGGCATTTAATATGGTATCCAGCGTAGGCCTCACTGAGAAGGTGAGATCTGGGCAAATGACTGGAAAAAGGTAAAATGGCCAACTGAGCAACTATAAAAGGCTTAGTATCCCATTAAGAAAAGTGTCTTTTTTTTTTCTTCAGAGAGTGGATGGCTTAAAGGTTATCAATCTATGAATTAAAAAATTATTTTAAGTTTTATTGTTGAAACAAGCTTAAATACATCTAGATGCCACATACTTGGACCATGATGCCTTGGATCCTTACAAAATGCACAGCTTTTACACATTTCATTCGCTTTGGTGCGATGTTCTTGGCTTTCACTGAGAAATGTTATACCAAACAGCTTCAGGGAAACCCCTTAAATTACATTCGTAGATTGGAAATTATTGAGGAAAACCATAGTCTACCTCATCATCAAGCCCCTTCCGTGAAGTGCTCCCTGAGATTTTTTTTTCTTTTCCATTTTTTTTTTTTTTGAGAGCTAAGTGCTAGAAAACCTTCACCCCTGGAACTATTATCTTTTCTGCCTTTTGATAACAAGAGCCTTGTAAACAATAGCATCTCCTTTCTCATTATATTAAAAATCTCAAAGCCAAAATAGAAGATGTGTAGATACTATTAGCAGAGAAGTATTCTACTTTTTTCTCCTGATTGTGTCTTCCTGTTGTTTTATATTTTTACCGGTTTTAATATTATTATATATATTTAATGACAGTTGCCTCATCATTTTGTGGAGTACAGCCAATTATGAAATATTACAATAATGAATTGTTGAATACTGAAAACATTCAATGCAATCATAACATTGAAAAAGGGAGAGATCCCAACTCTCGACTTTTCTGCTTTTATTCTGTAAGGGAAGGGATGGTAGCAGCCTGTACTTGAAATAATTTTGAATTCGTCAGATAAATCTTATGCAAAAACATTGTTTAAAGAACGATTCTTTTACTTCCCATAGTATACCAAAATCAAATTTCCATTACAAGGTATGTAAAATTTTGTTTTACAATTTATGTTAATAAAAATAATTTTACTAGCATCAGATAAATAACAAGCATGTTCAGTACCTGCTGATAAGCCATGTTGAGAAACAAGTATCTCTCTGACCTTCTCATCGGTAAGCAGAGGCTATAGGCAACATGGACCACAGCGAAGAAAAAACTTAGTAATCCAAGCTGTTTTCTACACTGTAACCAGGTTTCCAACCAAGGTGGAAATCTCCTATACTTGGTGCCGTAATAAAGCTGATAAGCAGCTGCCAGGAGACCTGCTAGGTATACTAGGGAGAGCAAAGTAATGGCAACTATAGGTAAGGTTTTATTCACAATCTCAATAGGAATCTTGTAAAAGTCACTCTGTTGGTTTCTGGCATATGGATGAATCACATCTCTGACAAAGGAATAAAGGAAGAAAAATGTGGCCAAGCTTATAGCTACTACCACTGGCCCTCTCCAGAGAGTAAAGAGCTGTAGGGGTAAATTTTCTATCTCTCTGGCTGATGATAAGGATCCCAAGTCAATGGGAATGAAATTCAACTGGCGGGCAAGTTCAATAACCTGTTGTCGGGCTTGAATATTGTTGCTGCATATGTAAACCTGTGGGAAAAACAAAAAGACTCAGTATTACTATCATTGTTTATAAAAATGGTAACAATCGCATGCTCCGCTTACGGAGTATCACCTGTGATGACTGTGAGTGATCCAAATGGTTAAAGATCAGGGATAAGACATTTATGAATATATTAACCTATTATTAATAGATTTTAAATAGTGTCATAGAAACAAAAAAAGTCCTTACCACTTATGATAACAGGACAATGAAATGCAGGAAAATGTAGCTGCATCAGAGGGGGGCTCCCAGTGGGGAGGCAGGTGGAAAGAAAAGTGTACTTTTCTAGGCCGCATGGTTCAGTAGCAGCAGCCAGGTAAAGCCTCCTCTCCAGGGGTTTAGGTGGACTTTGAGCTGCTGGTCATGCCCCTTCCCCACTCCAGCTCTCTAATTCCCAAAGGGGACAGTGTGGGGTCAGCAACCCCTGATGTCATGGACAATGTGTAGTTCTAAGACTGTGGCAGTTCTGTCTAGTGCAAACACTGCCCTTTACTGATATTTAACATGAGCGAAAGTGGGCACGCACTTTGGATGATGACATCTGCAATTAAAACCTTTAAATTATGTCATAGTGCTATATTTTTAATAAAATTTAATAAGGTTTTAAATAAAATTTAGGCTTAGAAACCAATACACCAAGTATCTCTGAAAAAACCCTAATAATCTCAGGCATATTATTTCATTGGTTAGTATATTAAATTCTTTCACCTCTAAATAATGATATGCCTGACAAGTAAAAAGAATTATAAGGCAGTAGTTAATTTAAATAGAAAAGCAACTGTCCTTTTCTAAGCCTAAGATATTACTTTTACAGAAACTCTAATGACGTGATGGGTAGAGATGAGGGTAGGCTTTCAAACTATTGAAATCTGTTAGATACTGTAATATAGTTGAAAATTCAATAAGTATTTGTTGAGCACCAAGTTCATTACTGGAGTGAGCTACTATTACTAATGGGTAGGCCACCTCATTTAGGACTAGAAAAATATTGCTATAAAGTCTCCAAGTAATGTTTGGGGAAAACAGATCCCTAAATGTATCCCTGAAGATGTTTGTATAAGGACTCTGAAATAGATCATATAGAAATATTTGCATGTAAACCTATTTACATAATGGTGACAATATAACACTCTTCAGATTATTAATCTTAGATAACATTAGCCAGATGAATGACAAATCCTTTTTTAATGAGCATTATGTAATCATTTGTGAACTTTTAAAATATAGGTCCTCTTACGACAAAGAAATCAGAAAAAAGTATTCTAAATTAATTTATTGCAGTTGTAACAATGTTGAGATAAACTTTTTAAAACACATTTGGAAAAAATTTTGTATAAATGATAATATGGTATAATAAGCCTAAAACTAAACCAAACATTCAAAATAATGGCACAATCAGTACAAAATACAAATTTAGACTCTTTCTGTAGCTCATTTTGAATTTAATCACTGTTCAACATTTTTTTCTGTTAAAAATTTTAAATTGGTATAAATATGGGTATATGATTAAATCAAGTTTGTCTCACCAGTCCTTAGTTCTAATTTGCTTATTCTGTACCCGCTGCTAAACTTTGGTGAATATGCAAAAGAAAAAAAAGGGATTTAGAAATATTCTTTTGCCAGTCATTAAAATAAAGACTGGAAAGTAAACGGTTATCATGACTGATATGCAGCATACAATGATATAATACTTAAACTTATTTTCTAAAGATTCTAATCAACTGTCTTTATGAACAAAATCAATAAAAGTGTTTTATAATCATGCTTAACTGTAATGCATATTCACATTTAAAAGATTTTTAAAACATATTTTATATGTTTATAAAAGCTCATTCCACAATGGCGTTGACAGAGCACCCCATCTGCCTTATTCTCAAGTTGAACTGGATGAAGTTCATGATATTTTCCCAGCTTTCCACATCATTTTGAGAATGGAAATGCGCCCTTACAAGGTCAGGACATTAATCTTCAGGTGCTCATACTTAGTTTTCAGATGATAATCATTGGAAAGTGTTAGAATTTGGTTTTAAAATGTTTGATATTTGCTTAGCTGTCTAACTACAAAATACCAGATAAATAAGCCTAAAAATTTAAAATACATACCTGCCGGCTGGCATCTTTAGGTCCTAACTGAAGTGCCCAGGCTGAGATAACATTAAATCCTTTGACAATCAAAGAATCTGGGAATAATGAAGCCAAATATTCAGCATTGGATTCTGGGTACTGGTTTATCCTCATGTTATTGCTCACATCAATCAGGATTTTACCCACAAGCAGATGTCTCAAGTCCCACAGGGAGGTATAATGTTCTCTATGTATGGCAACAAATATTATATTTGTTTTTGTAAGAGCATCTTCATGATGGGTGACATCTACCACATGAGGAAAAAATTCAGAAGCAAACTTAGGATTTCTACTTCCTATGACCACATGATAGCCACATCTAATAAGTCGAATGGTCAAGGATTTGGCAAAATCTCCACTTCCAATTACACCAACAGTGACTTTCCTTGCATCTTTGATACCATTTATGCCATTAGGTAAAAAAGTTTCACTAAGGCTCTTGGGGCTTCCCATCATAGAGATTGATTCCATGTTATAGACTCTTCCAAGATCTCCAAGAATAATCTAGGGGAGAGAAAATAAAATGGTCACCAATTACCTATTACTGAACATTAAAACACTTCTGGACATTGTAATAATGTCCTGTATTTCTAGAGGTAAAGTGTTTCACCACATTGTATACCAGAGAGCATAGTAAGACACAATTTGTAAGCTAAAAAAGGATCACTATTCTGGTTTCTCTTCATATCATATAAATCGTTTGGCTTTTAAAAAATCATCTTGGCCGGGCGCGGTGGCTCAAGCCTGTAATCCCAGCACTTTGGGAGGCCGAGGCGGGTGGATCACGAGGTCGAGAGTTCGAGACCATCCTGGTCGACATGGTGAAACCCCGTCTCTACTAAAAATACAAAAAATCAGCTGGGCATGGTGACGTGTGCCTGTAATCCCAGCTACTCAGGAGGCTGAGGCAGGAGAATTGCCTGAACCCAGGAGGCGGAGGTTGCGGTGAGCCGAGATCGCGCCATTGCACTCCAGCCTGGGTAACAAGAGCGAAACTCCGTCTCAAAAAAATAAATAAATAAATAAATAAAATAAAAAAATAAAATAAAAACTCATCTTGTTGGGAAAATTAACTGTCACGAAGCTGATGTGCTAAAGTGGGGCTTCTCAAATTTTAATGTGCACATAAATCACTTGGGAATCTTGTTAAAATGTAGATTCTGATTGAGTAGGTCTGCAGGGAGGCCCAACATTCTGCATTTCTGATGAAAGCACTACCAGTGCTGGTCTGAGGACCTCTCTTTGAGCAGGAAGGCACTAGTGATGTAGAACAGAAAATCCCCCAAATTGGGGCTTTCCCCAGGAGGGTACTTGGCTTTGCCCGGGAAATAAGTCAAGAGCAAGCCGGAGGTGTTAAACAGCAATGTTTATTGAGGCAGCAGTTTACAGCAGCAGCAAAGGTGCTGCTCCTTGCAGAGCAGGCCTACCCCATAGGCAGTGTGCCCAGAGTGGCAGCTCAATGGCAGCTATGCACTCATATTTAAAGCTGCCTTATTTATATGCAAATTAAGGGATGATTTATGCAGAAATTTCTAGGATGAGGGCGGTAACTTCTGGGTTGTTGAGCTGTTGCCATGGAAAGGGGTGGTAACTTCTGAGTGTTGCCATGGAAATGGTAAACTGACATGACATGCTGGTGGGCATGTCTTATGGGGAGGTGCTTCTGTCCTGACCTCAGGTTGGTCTAGTGTCCCAAGGCTGCTCTGGATTCAGGTTCTGCCTCCTGCCTCACTAGAGCACATGAGAAAAGAGACTGAAGTTTTCACTCAGAACTTTTTTGAAAAACACACTTGGAACAAGCATAATTACCCAGCTTCTGAGCAGATCAGAGGCAGCAAATCAGAAATACTGCTGGAGACGGAGAAGATTATGATACTAAGTGATGGCTCATAAGACAAGAGGAGAAAGAAAACCCATTTTTTAAAAAGCCATTTAAACCAAAACTGTCTAGAGTCATTTGGGGTGGAGGTTAAATTTCCCTATATACTTCAGCAGCTAGTGACCTTATCATTAAATGAGAACTAGATAAATCAGCTAATAATGAACCCTGGCACTTAAATAATAGTTTAAGAAAAATAGTCATCAAAATATAACAAAAGAGTAAATACCATGAACTTCTATCATTCACCCTAGATCTTACAATATATCATTGAGAAAGATAGTTTACCTATGGAAAAAGGGATTAGTAATGTGTTTATGGTTTTAAATTACATAATATTTATGACATTTTTTTCTTCCCCTTTGTCAGGAACATGGCTGTGTTTTGGCCAAGGATAGGCAGAGGTAAACATCCTCAGTGACTCAGTGAGTTTAGAGCATAGGCGTATAACTCCACTTGTTATCATAGCCAAGTAGATATAACAGAGGAGCTCACCACCATAGCTATAACATAGGGAAGACTCATCACTTGGTTCTAAGCCACTATTGTCTGTAAAAGGTATAATTGCCCTGCTGACAATGTACAGGCACTCTTGTGCCCAGGGAAAGAGAGAGTCAGAGTTGTCTGTCTTTTCAGAAAAATGGGGGTAGCCAGGACATAGCTTGGCTCACCCATGCCCAGAGAGAAAAATAGTCAAGCAGCTGTCCCTGAAGGCAAGGAGAGTGGGCCAGCAGCTGTGTGTGTCAGAGCCACCAGACTAAGCATCCGAGACAGGACAGACAGTGTGAGAAAGCTGTTGACGATAGCTGCTTCTGAACAAAATCATCTTTCTCCTGCCTAACCCCCCGCCACCCAAGTATTCTTTCTGCTCATCCACCCTCTCCCTTTGGACCTCAACATGACACCCTTTTATTCATTGGCTGCATAAACTATGATAGAATTATTCTTCCTGGAAAAATCTCTCAAATTATTTTTTAGTTAAGAGACTAACATCTGAAATGTTCATATCTGGAACAATTTGCTCAAGAATACAAATCAGATTGCCATGAATTAGTGTCAAAGTTGGGTCTGAAAGAAAAATACCTTCCACTCTACCCTCGTTGCACAATTTCTTTTATGCTCACAGCAGATGTGGCTCACTTCAGAGGATTTAATGGACTTTACAGGCACAAGTGGAATGTTTCAAAAACATGTTGGAGTTTTTACTAAATTAAATTTGAAATGTCTAGAGCAGGAAAATTCAAGTTTTTACCCTAGAAATGAGTCACATCCAGTAACTCCAACTACATCAGTATATTAAATTTTAGAAAGACAATAATTATAGTAATATTACCTAATACTTATATAGGACATAATGTATTTCAGCTCTCTTGTGTTTTTTATGTATTAACTGATTGAATCCCCACAACCACCCTAAGAGATAGGTGCTAATACTGTTGTACCCATTTTGCAGATGAGAAACTGAGACATGCAGAAGATAATTAATTTATCTAAGAGAGAAGACATGGGAGCCAGGATTTGAACCCGGGTAGTCAGTCCAGCTAAGACATGTGTCATTTAGGTGCATGTGAGGAGTTTAGGGAAGAGTGTTTTTTTGGGGGGTATAGGTATCAAGGTGTAAGAATTATGGCTGTACTCAAATCAGTACATTATTCCTTTTTCTTTGGTCATTTCATTGCTCCTCAGCATTACCTAGGAGCAACTGCTCCTGGGAAAGAAGAACATTTACTATTTTTAACTCAATTACATGTTTCATTTCACATCTTTCAAGATAGACCACGCCCTTGGTGTGGTCCATGCACTCAGAAGGGCAGACAGGAGTCAGGGTAAGGAAAAAACTGTCAATGTCCATCTGCAGATGTCACTGGCTATGATGGTAATCAGGAGCGGTTAAAGAAACCAGAAGTAATAAAATCCATGCTCACTTCATTCAAAAGTTAAAGATAATCATGTGCATTATCTAAGGGTGAAAAGGGTTGCTATATTCACACAAGGGAATCCAAGTGTCCTATAACCCAGTCCTGAGTTCTTCTGAATATACACTGTAGCATCTCCCAAAATATAAGAATTGCAAAATCTTTAAATCTAACAATCATGATGATCACGACTTTTTCAAACTAAAAGCAAAAACAAAACAATATTAATTATCTGCTTATTGTACAAAGCAAGTTCAAACCCCTTCTGTAAATCAGAATGTTAACAGGTAAAAATTTTATTTTGCTGAGGGTTCCTTTATAAGTGACTAGTCATTCTTCTCTTGCTGTTTTTAGAATTCACTCTTTGTCTTTTACTTTTGACAATATGACTACAATGTGCTGTGGGAAAGACATTTTTGTATTGTATCTGTTTGGGGAATCTCTGAGTAACCTGTATCTGGGTGTCTCTATCTTGCACTAGACTTGGGAAGTTTTCATTGTTGAATAACTTGAATGCAAATGAATTAAACTTTACACTTAAAAGATATAGACTGGTAATAGATAAAAAATCATGACCCAACTATATGCTGGTTACAAGCAACCCATCTAACCTATAAAGACATATAAGACTGAAAGTAAAGGGATGGAAAAAGATGCAAATGGAAACCAGAAGTCGCTATATTTATATCAAATAAAAAAGACTTTAAGTCAAAAACAGTATAAAGAGACAATGAAGGTCATTACATAATGATAATGGATCAATTATAGCAAGAGGATATAACAGTTCTAAATATACATACACCCAACAACAGACCACTCAGATATATTAACATAAATAAAATATTATTAGATCTAAAAGGAGAGACAGACTCCAATACAATAATGGTTGGGATTTCAACACCACCTGCCAGCATCGGACAGATAATCTAGACAGAAAATTAACAAAGAAACATTGGATTTAACTATATGTTAGACCAAATGGACCTAACAGACATTTAAAGAACACTTTATACGACAGTTACAGAATACAAATTCTTCTCATCAGCACAAGGATATTCTCTAGGAATGACCACGTTAGAACACAAAATAAGATTCAACAAATTTTTAAAAAATCGAAGTCATATCAAGTATTTCATCAGACCACAATGGAATAAAACTAGAAGTCAATAAGATGAGGAACTTTGAAACTGTAAGAATAAATGATTAAACAACATGCTTCTGAATGACTACTGTGGCAAAGAATAAATTAAGGAAGAAATCCAAAAATATCTTGAAAAAAATAAAAATAAAAACACAATACATCAAAACCTTTATGATACAGCAAAAGCATTAAGTACCTACACCAAAAAATCATAAAGATTTCAAATAAACAATTTAATGTGTATCTCAAGGAACTAGAAAAGCAAAAACAAGCCAAACCCAACATCAGTAAAAGGGAAGTAATAATGAAGATCAGAGCAGAACTAGACAAATTGAGCCTTAAAAAACAATGCAAAGGATGAATGAAACAAAAAGTTTTGTTTTTTGAAAAGATAAAACGGATAAAGCACTTGCTAGACTAACCGAGAATAAAAGAGAAAATAATCCAATAAAAAATAAGAAATGGAAAAGGAAACATTACAACTGATGCCACAGAAATATATAACATCACCAGAAGCTATTATGAACAACTATACACCAAAAAACTAGAAAACCTAGAGGAAATGGAT